TATATATATATATATATATATATATATATATATATATATAATATTTTAAAAAAGTAATTCAAAATAAATATTTATAAATATTTATCTAATAACTTACTAATATGCTATCTGGGTTAATACTTTTAATCTTAACAGTACTTTGCGTAAGTATTTCATCATTTAGCAAAGTATTATATATTAGTATTTAAATATTGACAATGTTCTGCGTAAGTATTTTATCACTGGACGAAGTATTACATATCAATATTTAAGTATTGAAATCAATTATAAGGTAGGATTTGTAACATTAAATATTGAAATACTTGAGTACTAAAAGCTGTATTTGAATCACAGAATATTACTAAATATTGTACTTTTAATACTGAAAATAAGTAATTAATCAATGATTCTTAGTATGATATTGCTATAAGGGAGGAACTTTTGTTTATCTCTGTGCTATCTGGGGACTTTACTGAAAGATATCTTTATGACGTCTTTTAGTAAAGTCTTAAAGATGTCTTTCTTTTGACATCTTTAAGACGATTTTTTAGACATAAAAGGTCTGAAAACTGATCTATAACTTTATAATTTATAACTTCTAAATTCAGTTTCCCATATATCCTGAATGTTTTATATTGATCAATTTATATTTATTAACAATTAGTCTATTAAATAATCTATTAAATAGTCTATTAAAAAGTCTAATTATATTGTCTAAAGTATTACAAGAGAGGAAGAAATTCCTTCATTTTCCTAGAACATTTGATTTTAATGTACTTTTTAAAAGATGATTATAGGACAGTCTAGTTTCATATAATTTGTTCACTTTATCGAACTTGTTTTTGTCGTTGGAAAAATAATTTAAAACTTTTTTATCCCATATAAATTGTTTTTTCGTAGATACTGTAAAATAACTATATTAAATAGTATATTGTTTTATAAGTGTTTTTTCTTTTCACTAAGTTTTTAAGATAATTTTTTTTTTTTTTTTTAATACATATCGAATATGAGTTGCCAGTTTATAAGAGCAACGCAAACAAGATTGTTAATGCGGCCCATCTGTCGCGTCAAAGGTAGTCTGTTGTAACGACGGTGAAAGGAAGGATTGATCAGTTGCATTCATTGGCTGTGAAAGAAGTTCTCTTTTAGCATGCAGAATTTTAGTTTTGTGTTGGATGTGCAATGGAATCAGCGTATGATGAACATAAAACGATTAGGCTATTCTCGAGAGCTAGTGAATGTAAATGCGGATGTAAATAAATAAAAATATAAAATTATCTTACATGTATTTTATGGTGTTAGCATGGAAACTATAACACACTAATAGATTTTTATTATTTTAGACGTAAATTTTGATTCTAAGATAAGGACAAAAGGATAAAATCTTTAATATCTCTCGACCATTATTATAATAAAAATCCGTATCTGATTGTTATAATTTCGAGAAACAAATTAAAATTTTGATAAAAATAACATAATATAAAAAGAAAGAAAACTAACTAATAAAAGAAATATATTCCTCTTAAATTGTATTGATTATAACTTTGTTTATTTCTTTTTTTTCTAGTGGAACGTCGATCCTTGCAAGTATTATTTTCCGTCAGAGATTTGGGGGACTAGACCCATATGGGAGATGGTACTGAAGATCATCAGTGTATTACCTATATTCGTCATAGGCACGTTGGCAAACATAAGTTTGATTTATGTTATTGTTCGAGTGAAGGCCCTGCAAAGTACAACCAACTTACTAATCGTTAACATGTCGATTGCTGATCTCGCTACGTGTCTCATTTGTCCGTGGATGTTTCTCTGCACTGATTTATATCAGAGATATATTATGGGCTCAATTGGTTGCCGACTGGATGGCATGTTGGTGCACGCGTTAACGTTGGTCGCTGTGTTTAATCTCAGCGTAGTTAGCTACGATCGAGTATCCGCTATTGTCTTTAATTGTTCTGGAAAGTTGACGGAAAGGTAGTTATAATTGACCTTATATCTTGAAGCCTTTATGTTATCAATTGAATTGAGAGAATGTTAAGAAAATTCGTTATTTTCCCTCACTTACAAGGAATCCTACGTAGGTGATTACCTTCGATTTGAATGAGCTTGAAATATGTTGTAATCTACACCAAAAGAGGAGACATGTATTTTTTTTATACGTACCCAGGCGGACTTTTAGGTAGCAAAACATCTTTTTGAAAAAAATCGGTTTTTTTCTTTAGGAGCATGTTTCGTCAAAAGTATAAGAAATAGAAAAAATTTTCTCGACGAAAATTAAATGGTTTTAGGGGTACTTTGCATTGACAAAATTAGATATTTGAAAAATGTAATGATTACCAACATACCCCCACCACTCAATAATTTTTTTTATAATTTTAAAATTTTGTGTCCACCAAAAAAAAATATATTTCATGTCGAATCCAACCATATATAATAATATGATTTTCTGACATACGGACTCGTTGAAAAATAGGTGGAAATATCCCCATATAACCGTAATGCCATCCGTAGCCGCCTAACCTACTCGATAATATACACAACATGTACTCATCGAACTTCCTCATAATAATAGGCGATTAGTACTGATGCAGAACATATAGGGTGCCCGCATAAGACGTCCTAGAAAAAAAAATATAAGTAGAACACATAAAAGTGAACAAATATTGTAGAAGTCATTTTTCAAACAACCACGTAAAATTTCGAGATATTAATTAAAATAGTTAGGCATATCAGAGCGCGGCGACACGGCAGGCGTGACATACGGCTCGCCGCGGTCGACGAAGAAAATGAAAGAGCGCACACGTACACGGACGCACACACGGAACTACCCATTTCAGTGTGCCAAACGGCCCACCTCTCTGGCCTATAAGATAGGCCCGCGTGTAATCGTCCATTTTCTTCGCCGGACGCAGCGAGCTGTATATCCCGCCTGCTGCGCCGCCACGCTCTGATTTGCCCAATTATTTTAATTAATATCTCGAAATTTTATGTGGTTGTTTGAAAAATGACCTCTACAATATTTGTTCATTTTTATCTGTTCTATTTATATTTTTCTTCTTGGACATCTTATCAGTGTTGGGAAGTAACGCGTTACTTGTAACGCCGTTATTGGTATCGTTACTCTTTTGAATAACGATTAGGTAACGTCGTTACTTTTTTGTGTCAGTAACGAAAAAGTAACGGCGATACATTTTTTTATAACGAGTAACGAGTAACGAAACGTCCGTTACTTTAATCGTTACTTTTTAATTTTTATAAAATTAAACTTAATTATATTTAATTTCTATGCATTTCTTGTTTTACGTTGGATTTAGTGAGAACCAGTGACATACTAAAAATGCTGTGCTTTTATTGGTGCATTGGTCTCGTGGACCCTAGCCTAAATCGAATTAACGTCGTCGTGTAAACGTAGTTTATGGCCCGTATTCATAGCGAGATTTTAAAGACTTTCTATAATGACTATTAACATGTTCGACTGGTCCTGGGTTAATCGCTCCGAGAGCGATTAATGACGTCATAAGTCTCTACTAACCAATCATAAAGCTTATAAGTACTTGTTCCAATAAACGTAGGTTGAATAACCTAGAGTGGGTTAACCCAGAGTCAGTCGAACATGCTATATATCATAAGATGACACAAAACTACTTTCAGAATCCAGTCTTTCTGAATCAGTTCTTATTAGTCGATCTAATGGAAATATTACGGAAACAGCCGATTCGAAAATAATCATGGTCTTAAGTTTATCTTTGCCAAGTCAATCTCAAATCAAATAAGTCTTACTTGAACAACATCTTATTCGTAAAGATCGTCTTATTTCACGACTATAAAATCTACTGATCTTAAGACAATCTTGTTTGAATAAGACTGACTTGACCAAGATCGTCTTAAGTGCTGACTTGAGGCTTGACTATGAATACGGCCCTTAGGCTCTGTAAATGGGAAAAACGGCACCGATATCCGATTTCTGGTAATAGGTAATCTCGAGTGCAAATGAGATGCGCATGTAAAAATATATAATATATGTAACATGAACTATATGATTTCCGCATTCGCATCTCACTTACACTCGTCAAGGATGCAGGCTTTAGGTCCGTTTCTTTGTAATAGTACTCAATAGGCCGTATTCATAATCGGATCTTATATTTAAGACAGTTTCAAGTTCACATTCAGATACTCTGTAGCCAATGAAATGATCTATGCAGCATCTGAAAATGAATTTAAGACGATCTAAGGGTGCGGTCACATGGAGTCAGAAATAACGGAACGGAAACATAACCTATAACCTAAAGGATACTACTTAGGGCTATCGCACACAAATTGACATAACTGCATATGCATAGCATAAGACCGTATGTACCAATGAGCATCGAGTATTAAGTCGCCATATTGGTGTTCGATGCTTAATATTCGATGCTCATTGGTCCATAGATCTTATGCTATGCATATGCAGTTATGTCAATTTGTGTGCGATAGCCCTTACACATGTTACTTCAATCAACGTAGTAAAGTATTTACCCAGACAACACATATGTCTAAAAGACATCTTTCTTTAAGATAACTTAAATAAGACGTCTTTAAGATGTCTTAAATAAGACGTCTTTAAGACGTTATCAAAAGACGTCTTATTTCTGACGTCTTTAAGACGTCTTATTTAAGATGTCTTTAAGACGTCTTATTTAAGATGTCTTTAAGACGTCTTATTTAAGATGTCTTTAAGACGTCTTTTAGGCCGGTATTCATAGTCATATCTTCCCAGACAGCACAATGTCTAAAAGTGGGATATAAGACGTCTTTAAGACGTTTCTAAGTTGTCTTTAAGACAAGTTTATAAAATATTGTCTTAAAGATGTCTTAAAGATGTCTTAAAGACGTCTTATGACTCGATTTTGGACATTTGTGCCATCTGAGTTATATTTAAGATCATCTTAAGTACTATCTTAAGATGAACTGATCACAGAACCGTATTCGCATCTTAAAACATTATTTAAGACGGTCTTAAAATAAAATTCGACTATGAATACCGGCCTTAAACGTTTTATTTAAGACGTCTTTTTTTCTAACGTCTTAGGCCGGTATTCATACCCAGATAGCCAAACCTGTGCGAGCAGATTTTACGCAGAGTTTGTCAACAGTGTCTGTTGACAGAATGGCAACAGACTGCACACAGAAACTGTTTTAGCAGTCTCTGACGACAGATTGGTGACAGACTGCCCACAGAGCCTGTCGACAGATTCTGACGACAGACTGACGGCAGATTGCGCGCAGATTCTGTTTCCTAGATAGGCTATTTAATTCTATGAAGGGCCATATGTACGTTATTAAATGGGGCAGTTTCACATACACACTATGTAAAACTGCTGCAGAGAAGTCAAGATAATTATATTGTGCAATAATTGTACACATATACACAATAAAAAATAATGTTTATATTTTAAAATTGTATTACTAATTTTTTATAAAAAAGCAACAATAATAGAGAAATAACGAGTACAAGTATAGAATAGTACAACGGTTAAATGGCCATTTAAAGGCGTACACATGTTATTCCTGGTAAAAATTGTTCTCATAATTTTTCATACAATTTCTCATCTTATTATTTTTTTTAATGTTGTTATGTCATTAAATCCGATTTAACCGTCATGCAATAAGTA